TGCTTTTTTCCACACATCTCCAAACACCCAGAAAACTAGATCTTTCTCTTTATCCTGTTTATTTTTTCATTCACTTATTATTTATTTATTTTTCTTTTTAGCCTGGCTTTGCTTGCTACGGTACCCGAAAGCTGAATGTCCATCTGCAATGATATTCCCTCACTCGTTATGGGATGTACCCAACTTACCGTACAACAGCACCAGTACCTCCCAGTGCCCATCGAATAATATGTCTTCACTCGTGCTGTCTCCCCCACAGGTCCCCCCGTGGAGGCGACGGCGGCAGCCACCGGGAGACCTCGTTCACGGTTGAGCCACCCACTCTTCTTCGGGACGACGACTCGCGCCCGCGTGCTCAGTCCGTGGCGACGATTGGTGAGGCGCACGGCACTCTTTAATAGTTAGGTTTCCTTCGTTATTATTACTCTTCCATCATTGGTTCCTTTAAAACAAATGACTGTCCTTAATTGTTATCTTCATGTTTCCTGTCCCTTTGGCATATATTTATAGTGAGAATGATAATGGAAAAGACAGAATTATTTGTCTTGTATCTTGTCTCTGCTCCTAACTTCCCTGCCAATATTTTTGTTCTTTAGTTCGTTTGTTTTTTACTTGTTTTACGTCGAAAAGTTTGCAGTTTCTTGACGAAAGAGTAATGGCTGAAGACAGTGAGCTAGACGCATCTAGTTTTACCATTACAGTTTTAGTGTTCTTTCTCAGGAATGATACAGTGCACTTACACGGTATCACAGCGATTCAGTTTTGCTTATGTTTGCTGTGTCAGAGCTGTAGTCATCATAATGCTATGGTATTGTTATCTTGACCCAGTATACATAAGGGCGACCATGGCCTGTCTGATGTGAATGATGCTGTTAGTCTGCCTGCTGTCTGTGTCATCATGTATGTTCACAGCTTTTGAGAGTTAGTTCAAGAATGAAATCGCAAGAAATGAGAAGGAAGGTGAGAGAAATTACGTGTTTTCCCTGTTGCTGTCGTTTTCTTTGGTGGACTCTTTAAAGTCAGGAATGATATCTGTCCATGTATTGCTTTGAAGTTCGGGTAAGCTATTTTCTCAAGCATTATCTAAATGTTTTCTATTTATCATTCATTTTTTCACTGTTCCATCATGTCTATTTTTTTTTTTATCTAATTTGCTTTCTTAATTACATATGGTTCTAGATATATCATTATCTTATTTATCCCTTCAGTCCTATTCATTTGAATATCAGAATGACGAATATATACAGCGGTTATTGTCGCAGTCTAAATTGACATCGTAATTTTTTTTTATCTTTCTTAATTATCAACTACTGCCACTTGAAAAGATTATTAAATCTATGCGTGTTTGGTTTACTAGTTTACATCAACAAAAAAAAAAAAAAAAAAAATTACTCTCATGAAGTCAAAATAAGTTATCAAAGGAATGATTTAATTCAGTCAGTGACATTTCCGCAAAGCATTATCCTCACTTTGAGCCTATTATCATTGTATACTTCAACCTTGCCGTCATATTCCTTCCTTCCTTTCTTTCATCTGCTACGTTTTTTGTTTTCGGAAGAATGCTGTTCTTAGTATCTGTTTAAGGGGGTATGATTTTTATGGTAAACTTTATTTGCTTTTATCACCTTTGTTGATAGTGATGTTATTAGCGTTCGTTTTCTTTTTCTTCGAATACTACTACTACTGCTACTAATAATGATGGTAATGTATCATCATTATCTTGATTAGTATTATCCCTACTATGATTGATCTCCATTAGTGTTATCTCGACTTATTTCATGATTAGTATCCTCCCTGTTCTTAGTTGTGTCTCCCCATCTGTCTCCGAGCACATTACCTGAAATCCCCATCAGTGAGTATGCTTCTTCGCCGCTACATGGCCTTCCTTGTTCTAACCGCAGGTCGTCATTCCCCTTCAGACGGGACGCTTCGCGCTGCCTCGGAGCCCCGCGAGGCGCCCATGGGCCCGGGCGCGGGCAGCGACCGGCGGCCCAACGGCTGGGCGAGCTTCGTGGGTGACGTGCCGGAGCCGCCGCCGCCGCCGCGCACCGCCACTCTGCGCAGGGAGAAGAAAGTGACCATCCTAGAAGAGGCCGTCCACAGGTTATGATGCTGACCGACTCCTCCGCTGCCCAGCCCTTCCTCCGCGCTCAGCCACGGCGCTGCCCCCCGCCCGCGCCCCGTCCCTGGGGAGGCGGGGGCGGGCGCGCGTCCTGGGCGAGGCGAAACCCCCAAACCACGATGCGTCTTGCCGTCGAGCTTGCTCTCGGTGGCGACGTTTCGCTCCCCCTCCCTGTGGGACTGACATTCACTGACGCCGGAGAGGGACGTTTCTCATCTTCTTAGGACGCCTCCCACAAAATCGGCCTCGAAGGGGCTCGCTCAATCGCAACACGATTGTATCCAAATTTCAGATTTTTTGTCTTCTGTCTTTTCTTTTTTGTTTTTCTTTCCTTTTTTTCAACTGTTGTTGCCGTGTTCCCGGACTACGGCGTCACGG